GGCTGATACTGACACGGGCTTAGTTATGAATTTCTAATGTCATGTTATCAAGATCATCATATGCTTTTCAGAAGGCAACACTCACTATCTAAATCCACCCAGGGCATTTCAAACTGCAGAGATAACTTGAGATATGGATGGCATCATTTGATAAGGTATCCAAAACTCTTGGTTGCTTCTGATGGACACAGCTTGAAGAAGGAGGCACAGCACTGTAAGCTGTGGTGACCACCAAACAACTTCACTGCACAGCTTGTTTAACCATGTGGGATGAAGTCAAAACCTTACACCTGCTGTCAATGAGAAGATCTTTATGCTGAACACAAAGCCTGTAAAATGGGTTAGTCACTCACTTTATTTATTCACTTTGATATCCAGTGATGGCTGGGGCTGCTAGATAAATACAAAGTCTGCTGAAGGCATGGAAATATTATCCTTTACTTCATTGGGCTCTCAATACAATCCAACACACAAACCATAAAGGCTCCCTGGATGAAAGATGCTTTGGAAGTGTCAGGAATGACTCTTACCCCATGCTGTTTACCCTAAATGGGACAGGCAGAATGAAACCTGGGTAGTTGGGCCAGTAGAAATTGTCTACAAAGTGATCAGCAAAGCTGCAGGTCACTGATAGGCCACATCAGCAATGAGAAAGGAAAAACCATCTTCTCCTGGGACAGGACCCTCTCCTCATGTCAGGAGAACAGCTGGAGACCACAGCCACAATTTTTGGGAAAGGCTGAAGGACAAAAATCTAAGTCTTGGATTTTCAATTTTCCTCTTAATAAAAAGTACATAGTGGTACAAAGAAACATAGAACAAACTAATTCAATTCTGGCAAAGATGAATTTGCTTTACAGAACTGTCCTTAAAAACTGAATAGCTCAAAACTGACCACAGGAAGTAACTGGTGCAAAAAACTCCACACAATAAATTGTTCTGCACCCTACTTTTTCTTCACGGAGGCTTTAGGTCATTAGGCAATTTCTCAGCTGTCTCAGGTAAAAAAAGTTTCATTTGGAGAAAGATAATTTTCTAATTTTGAACAAACAGATTTTTTGCATTTCAGTACCTCTGAACACACTGACCTCAATTCCCTAGTGAGAGCTTCAGGCAGAATACAGAAGTTAAAACTACTGATCTAATCCAATCCAATCCATTTTTGCTTTTAGGAAACATTTATAAAAGCAGAGAAAGAAGCTGACTTCTTCAAGGGGAAAAATAGTCTGGAGAAAGAGCAGAAAATACATCCATCCTATTTTAGCTTAGAATACTTTCTCTTTGGTATCAATTTGACTCTCTGCCCAGAAGCCTCAACATAAGCCTCTTGATTGCAAAAGTCACAAGAGAATCAAGTGTTTGAAGAAGCCTATTTAAAAAAGAGAGATGTTCCCTACTGCATTTTGGGTCATAGTATAACGTATTAAATTCACCCCCATAAAGTTTTACTAAGTTTAAATATGGATTTTTACATTTGGAAAAATGCTGCTTGCAAACAAAGTTTTAAAAAAATGGAGAGGGAGAGGAATGATGAACGTAGTATAACCACAGGAAAGCAGAGGTGTTTCCTCTTTCACTGTTCTTAATTAAAATAAAATTTTAAAAACCCACTGAAACTGAGAAGGATTTGTTTATTCCTCTGCTTTCATCAGGGCTGGTGGCTGTGAGAAATGAAAGGAGGACATGGGGCCCTGCTCACACCCCTTCATTCTGGGCACCCTGGCTAAGCTGCAACTCTCAAACCCAAGGTGAGCAGCATCTCCCGGGGGTGGTCCTGTCCCTACCCATGGGTGACAGATGAGCTGTCCTGTCACCTAAAACCTGCTTTGGACTAGAAAGTACCTTTCCTTGCACCTTTCCTCCCAGCATCGTTTTGTCTGTCCACCCCCTCGGCACAGTCTTGGTCCCAGAAGGACTCTGCCCCCTCCTCCCAAATGCTGCAGGACTCAGGAACGTGCAGGAAACCTCACACTTTTCAAACTCTCCTGGGGAGGCTGTAGAGACCCAAGGAAATAATCTGTAACATGTCAGGTCAACAGTGCCAGTATTTCCTTTTTGCTCCAAGATAATTTTTGCACTAAAATGCACCTCAGCATCCAGCAGACAGCTACTGAGGCTGTTTCATCTCTGAAGAGTCACACTGGAGGCATTTAGGAAGTTACTGCACCCACATAAATACTCTCACTCTCCCTGACACTGTCCCCATAGCAACCTTGGGCTTTGTCACCTCCTTCCCTGTCCATTACAGCCACCTCAACCAAAGCTCTGAACTGAGCCAACTGATGGACAGTTTACCTTTATTCTGCAGCTCCTGATAACCTTCAAGGGACAATGAATAACCTTAAACAGCATCCCAAATTAGTCCTCAAAGAGTGAGTCTCATCCTTTTGCAGTTCTCTTGAGCTGCCCCAGATGGAGCTGAATTCCCTGGCCTCCAGCATTCACGTGGGTGTTGATTTTTACAACCCCATTCCTGATCTTTTGTTCCCTTCTATTGAGTATTTCAAAGTTGTGTTAACAGTACCAGCTTCAACTCTTATCAGGCCTCTAAAGAGCTGGGTCAGCAGCTGGGTATCATGGAGGAAGGGACACACCTTCTAAAATCACTGTGGCACTCTTGTCCCAGGACTGGCATGGGTACCTGCCCTGAACTGCAACAGACTCAGCACATGGTAAATCCTTGTGCCTACATTTAATGTCTCCAGAGAGAGATCTCACAGGGAATCTCTCATGTGTAATATCTGAGTCAGGCTAATCTAATTTGGTAACCAAATGGCAAAAACTCTCCATGACAGAGTCTTTCATCCTTGCAAAAACCCACAGAGAACAAACTTTGGAATGACCCCAACTGGCAAAACCTGACTTGAATAGGGAGTTTATTTTACATTTTAATTTTCTATTTTGTTCTGCTCGCAGTTAAATAAATGGTATAGAGCTGGTTTATAAAAACACTACCAAACAAAAAAACTCTTTACTCAACAGTACTGCACAATATTTAGAGTTCTGCAGGGACCAGTATACATAGAGGGATTTTAATTTTCCATGGCCTGTAAGCGTTATAATCTCCATCAACTGTGTGCACTCTGGGACCATGACTAACATCAGTGCTTGAACTCTGACTGGTTGTTGGCTTCTTTCTTCTGTCTTTAACACTATTTTGAAACTCACACTTAATCCAATAATTTGCAGGAATAAAGAAGTTTTTACAGCAAATGGCTCCTCTCAAGTCTAACCCACAGGTCTGTTACAGGACAATGTGTCAATAAATCAGAGGTGTCTGTGAGTCCATGCAACTGCTATGAATGACCACAACTCATCTTAGGGACAAAGGCTTTACTTATTAAGAGAAATTACAGAGATTAAAGGGTAACACCAGGACTGTCTTCATGGGTTTGACTACCAGCAGTCCTTTCATAGCATCCATGGCAAATATTCCACTACATCTTGCTTGTTAATTCCTTGTTTATCATGTGTGCTGTGTCTCAACCTTTCAGGAATAGTTATAATCACTGATTTATCTAGGAACCTCTAAAGTCATGAGTTCTCCACCTTTTCTAATTCATATTCCCCATCTTTAAAGACATATTCCTACCCAAGTTGCTTTCTCCCCTCACTTTTCAGTGCAAAGCTGACCAGAATGAACAGCTCTGGCAGCTTTGGTATGACACACTCTTGTGTTTCAGTACTGCCACACCAACCACTCTGCTATGTCCTGCTCAGTCATGCTAAAACAATGCTTCATTTTCTAGGTCTGAGTTAACTGGGACACCAAAGGGGTTTTATCCTATGTTGAGGCCCCACTTGCTTGCCCAGCTGTTCTTCTGAGAAACAAGTGACCCACAGAGGCCTGTGCAACCCAAGATAGTGATGGCAAGATAAAAATGTCTAAGAGACCTCTGCCCCAATCTGCAGACTGACCTTACTTTGTCTCAATTCTCTCTGGAAGTCACACAGCTCTCCGTGATTTGCATTTGCTATCATGGACTGCTATCATGATTTAATTCTTTCACTGGCAAGAAACATACAATAGTGTGGCTGTCAAATTTACACAGGTTTGTCCCAAGTGAGTCACTGCACCTGAGACTGGAATCTGGGAATACTGATCCCAAAAAAAGGAGATGTTGGAGATGACATCCAAAAACCAAGTTTTCATAGAATTAAATGGAAAGGAGAAAGAGGAATCTCAGTTTGCCATGAAGCATCAAACTGGTCTGAAAAGCAGATTTCTGCTCCCTTGGGAGTTTTTAATAGCTTTGGATAACTAAGATAAACAGAGACTGAAGGGCTGTATGAGACACACACAGAATTATTGAATTATGACATGTTTGAGAGGTTATTTACTTTACAGAGTATTTACATAAGGTCCACTTCCTCTTCATATATATGCTCAAACATTACAAAGATTCCCCCTCCACCCTTAATGAGGAGTCTGCATTCAACAGCCCCAAACATCCAGAATTAACCTTTTTTCAAGAACATCCCTTGGAAAGTTTTCTAGGCAGTCCATTCCTTGTTCCTAGTAACAAGCAATAGGACAAGAGGAAACAGCCTCGAGTGGCACTAGGTTTGGATTGGACATTAGGAGGTTTGGATTGGACATTAGGAAAAATGTATTCATCAGAAGGGCTGTCAAGCATTGGAACAGGCTGCTCAGAGAAGTGTTGGAGGCACATCCCAGGAGGTATTTAAAAGATGTGTGGATGTGGTGCTTGGGCACACGGTTTAGCTGTGGACTTGGCAGTGCTGGCTTAGCAGTTAACTCAATGATCTTGGAGGTCTTTTTGAACCTAAACCGTTCTATGGTTCCCCAGAGCCTGAGCAAAACCAGGGAAATTCCACTCTCTCACCAGGCAAATGAGGCACGTGTGGAAAGAAAACACAGGGCATTAAAAGGAAGAGGGGAAAGAGGGATCAGAATATGAAGTGATGACTGGGATATTGCTATTAAGGCAGCTGATTTTTCCTCAATTCTCTGGCCCATCTGGAACAGTTCTGCTCACCTGAGAAGTGTCATGGTTGAATATCACAGCGTTCAGGTCTCCACAGTTGTAGTGCTTGATGAGATCCTCAGTGGTGTAAGGGGCCTGCAAACTCCCTGCTCTAAGGCTTTCGTGTTGGAGCAGAGTCTGGTTTAGAGCAAACAGCACCTGCAGAAACATAGGCAGGAAAAGAGAGAAAAAGTTAAAGATAGTAGGAATCAAAACAACAAAGACCAAAGGACAAAACTTTGAAAGACTTTCCTGCACCTGAAGTCTATTCCCTTTATCCATTCTGGCCCATAGTAACAAGGGATGGTCTTTCCAAATGGAAAAGCATTCAGGTGCAAGACACCATAATATTCTCCACAGAGTATAACTTCACAACAGATACATATTGCTCAGAGGTCAGAGTTTCAAAACTCTTGGGCTCTCTGTGCTGGTTAATTTGCTTCATGACAGACACTGGAATGGAAACTCCCCTAAATGAGGAAAAGTCTAGTGTCTCTGGCTGTTTTCTGTATCCTAGCTTAAATCCAAAGCCCAAACTCAGTTGACAGGTTTTTGAGAAAAAATTCAAAATCTTCTGAACTTCTGAAATCAGAGGTGTTGTATTGGAACTTCGTGCACACTTGTAATAACAGAAACTTTAGGAAATTCATTATTAGTTTCCCTCCTTTTGTCTTTCTTCCTTCACCCACCCATTTGCAAAGTGAGAACAAACAGATCTCTAACACTGTCCCAGCAGACTGGTTCAATATCCCCAACCCAAACCTGAAAAAAAACCCAAAAAAGCAGAAGCACTATTTACTGTGTCATTTTGGGTAACCAAAAAAAAAAGTCCTTAAATATTAGATTTTTTTCCCTTGAATTACCAAAGCCTTAAAAAACCCAAGCAAACAAACAAAAAAACCCCCCACGCCTCCCCAACAAAAAAATCAAATAAAACCAAATAAAAAAAGGACCACTACATTTCACATGAAGTACCAAAAATCTTTTTAGATTTGTGAAAGACTAGGGGAGTAATAAATACCAGTTATTGAACCACCAAGTGTGGGCTTTACATCTTCTTCTTTCCAAGAACCTTCTGAAGAAACTTGATAACAAGTAGATGAATAAATCAGATGAACAGCAGTGAAGGCCTTTGTCATGAACTATATAAATAAACAAACACACTTTTCCTAAAATAAAGTGGAATGTGGCGACTGTGAATTCAGACTTCTGAAAAATTACATTGATGTGTCATTTTTCATTAAAAGACTCCTGCACCCCTCAGTCTCATATTTCACCATTTTTTAAGCTTTTCTCATTTATAACAGCAGTGCCCCATCCTTCCCAGAGAATAACAATCATCTCAAAATCTGGGCAAGGTAATCCCTGCTGAGCTCCAGTCTGGGACCTGAATTCTTACCTTCTTAAATTTTAGCAACTGAACCCACTTCAAGGACTGAACCCAAGAGGAGTTTAAAATCAGCAATTTACATATGTATTTGCAGGATGGAAGTTTTTCTTAGTTTAAAATTATGATTCCCATTGAAGTTTATCTGAAGGTGAAGGAGAGGAAGTTGCAAAATCTCATGTATATAAAAAAGAGTATTGGATATTTAATTATTAATAATAACATTGATAATGTTAGTAATATTAATAACAACAAAGGATCTTCAGGGCACTAACAGCCTCAATAAAAAGCTGTTACATGCTAACTAACATACACAAATTGGGTTGAGGAAAAGCAAATGCTAGCTTTTAATTTACTTTAAAAAAAATGAAAAACATGGTCTTTCAACTGAACCTGTTATACCTCAATTTGGCAATCAGTTCCCCATTAAGAGCAAAGCCTAAAAGATTTCCTTGCTCAGATCTAAGGGTCTCTTCAGGCTTTTCTACAAAGAGATCAAGCTTTCCCAGGACCACAGCTTGAAGTTAAGCATCTTCCTAACTTAGTTTTTCTCTAATTTAAAAAATATGCCAAAAACACAGTTTGAAAAATTTCTAACGTTTGAAAGGATCTGAGCTTTTTCTTTTTCCCCTAAGGGCTACAGCTCGAAGAGGAAATGGTTCATCCCAGGATTTCCTGGGGATTCTAAACATTTTGACTAATAAAAATAAAAGCTTAGAATAACATTGACAGGAAAAATGAGAGCAGAGGTTTTCCCAAAATGCTTTTAGCAAAATCCTTCTCATTTTTGATTTTTTAAACAATGGATGTTACTGGATTTTTGTATACAAAAATATGTATACACACAGGCACACACACATATACAAACCACCACCAAGCCCTGAGGCAAGACTGTGTGTTTTATGATAAAATATTAAGAAGGCAATAAACAAATCCTTACTTACTTTACTGCCAATGCCTTTCTCCCCCTACTTTTTTTATTAATTTATTTTTTAATATTCTGGGGAAACCAGTCCTGTGCATTAATGCTGTGGGTCTTTCTCCTGTGAATAAGTTTGGAACCTATTGTATTATTTCAGCCACATTTACAGGGGATTAGAGATCTTGAAGAAAATTGTCTATGTGTTCCTCAAAAGTCAGCCTGCAGAGAAGTTCACTATACAAGTTCACTTCTTATAAGACACCAAAGATTCCAAATGAGAGAGAATGAGTTATTTTGCAGTTTTTGGCAGATGGCCCCCCATGATTTCATTGGTGCCAGGACATTAATTTCCCTGCTTTCTGCCTCAGAGCAGCTTTGGGACCCAGAGGTGATGCTGAACCCATCCAGCATGCTGCTGTCACTGTGGGGAGCTCAGCACTGGATTCAAACTTCTGCCCCAAAATCTACTCCAGAGATTTTATTGTAGGAGGAAAGTTAAAATCAGAAACTTTAACACTTGAACTTGCTAAAGGAAAACTGTAATTAACCAATTTCTAGAGAAGCCATAACCGCCATGGATTTTGGTTGGGTGGCTCAAAACAAATTTAAAGAGAAGCGGGGTCTCATCACAGTTGCCTGCTTCCTGGCTGGATTTGTAGACTATTTCCTTCAGAGTCAGGTTAAAGCCAGCTTAAAACCTGAATTTATTTTTCCTTACTCTTCAGATAATGCCACAAAAACAACGCTGTTTCCTTCCCTTCTCTCTATCTTAATATCACTGACCCCACGACCCCCAGCCTAATCCTCTATCTGAGTTAAATCTCCCAGAGCTGCCTGAGATTACTGAACAACTGATGAGTTCAAAATAAACACACTTAGAGTGACTGCCTATATACAGTCCCACCTAATAAAGAGAACAGACAGGATTTGCTCTGGGAAGCAATGGGAAGTTATGACTTTGGCTCTTGGGAAATGCATTTTACTCACACAATTTATGGTGCTCACCCTGGTGTGCTTTGAAGACATTTTTGCATGTCTGTCTCTGGCCCCACTGCTTGTGACTGACCAACCTTTTAATCTGGGTGGTGTCATTGCCCCAACACAGAGATTTTATTTGGAGACACCAGCTCAGCCCTCAGGGCAGTCCTGTTTTACTGTCAGTGGGAGCAGGTCCCACTAGTCCTACACAGTTCCAGGGATCACTGGTCCAGACATTTTTGCAGTTGTTTTGCACAGCCTTTGGACCTCTCAAGGAAAAGGAGCTGGACCAGTGAAGACCTTCACTACAGCTTTACTGATCACTTTGACACTCACACAATATTCCCCTTCTCTGTGCTTCTGGATTACAGATCCAGGAGTCACACAAGAACAGAAGGAATGGGTTACAAACCTCCCATATAAATCAACTTGAATGTTTATGGTGTTTAACTTTTACCTTCAAAAAGACAGAGGATTATAAAACCTCCAAAGCACATACAAAGCAAGTCGACAAAACTGCAGTGGGTCCTAAGGTCTTGAGGCTCTAGGCACTGCCCAGAAGTGATGCTATAAGCAGTTGTTCTTGGGACAGTTTGAATATTGTTCTGCAAACACATTGGTGAGGTTGGAGGTTTGATTTTATGTGATAATTTAATGAGAGTTGTTTTTTAGGGATGTAAACCTAATCTACAGAAACAGATCTAGAGAACCACTGCCACCTTTCTCAAGAGAGAGAAGTGAATAAATGTGTGTTTGGAATGGGCTTAGGAACACTCCAGCCTTTCCACCAGAAAAAATTTTCTTCATTGATCTTGGGTTTGGGAAAAAAGCTAGATGAAAATGCCATTTGTTCCAAGGTACTCTCACAACCAGTCACATATAGCGTTTTATTGTGCCAGGCCAGCAGCTTCAAACTGGGCATTTGAAGGCTCCTGAAAGCAAGGACCATGTTAGTGCTGTATGTGATAGCTAGGGAGGAGAAATCACAGCCTCTGTGCCACAGAGATTTCTCCTTGCCCGTGTTCTGTACATTTGTCTCCAGCTGAAGAGCATAAGAAGGCCTGGAACACAAAATCCAAGCTAACCCTCATCAAGTACATCATCATTCCTGGTTACATCAGCGGTGAACAGGTGGACCTGTCCACCTGTGGAATCAAATGGAAAGGTTGCCAGGTCCACCTCTTCAATTTTTCTAACTAAAGCCCCCACAATGAAAAAAAAAAAAAAAAAAAAAGCTTTGTGGGAACATCTCATAAGCAACTGTAAAATAAGACAAGGAAACCTTATTCACAGATAAAATGCTTGAGTGGTCCTAAACCTTCCTATGAAATATACTGCTAATAAAACAGACAACAAATTCGGGAATTACAACACAAGAAACACATCTTCTGTTAAGCTTAAGACAAATTGGAGCTGTGTTCTTCTGGTGTATTTGCTGTACAGGAGACTTGAAGATGAAAGGCAACCCTAGGAAAACTCTCAGGCCAAGCTTTGCATTCACAGGACTCCAGTAGCTGGAATTACAGGATGACCCCTGCACAGACCCATGATTAATAACAATACCACAAAAACAAGTACTTAAATTTCACACTATGATGTCAGCTCTTGAGCAGGCAACTTATTGTTTTCCTTTGCTCTCTCTTTTGGACACGTGCCACCACAATGCAAACACTAAATAAGCATTACTGGAAGTGTTTGAGTGACTATATCCTGTCAATGCCAAGACTGCAATTCCAGAAAAGAAATACCCACTCTCCTACTTGGTTCAAAACAAACTGCAACATAAATATTGAGATACATACAGTTCTGCAGGGGTTCTCCTTTCTTAGTTATCCTAATCTCTGATCAAATAGAAAATCAAATATACAGTTT